CTTGTTTAGTGACAGTAAGTTTGAATCACTAAAGGGAGAGCAAAGTTTAAGGCCATTTTTATGTGTCTTCTAATACTCTTTTAAGACATCCTGGAGAAATCACTGTCAATATCATGCTGCTTGCAGTGAAGGAATTGCTGTGTGGGTGGCATTGACTCGTTTTCCCCTGCCATGTGGGAGCTGTTGGTCTTGGGAGCCCAAGCAGCAGTTCACTCCTTTTTCTGTCAGAGAGAGGAATCTACACTAGGATTTGTGCCTATATATACCAGCTTTAAATGTAATATACTGTACTATTTAATGATGGAATTTTTATTATTGCAAGTTCCTTTTCTGTAACTGCTAAACTGGACTGAACCCTTTGACTATGCCTTGAAGATTCCAGCTATTGTAATCAAAGTTTCTTGGCCTTACATCCAGTGTGTGCTTTCCTCCTTATGTGTAACAAGGCAGGCTGGGTTCACGTGGAATGGAAGCTGCTGGGGTCTGCAGGCAGACTCTGGCCTGATGTGGCAGTGGGCATTCAGGGCAAAGGCCATTATTTCTATGGCTCAGTAGCAGGACAAGAGCTCCTGGTCACTCCTTCCAGGACTGTGAACTAGTTCTCTGTTGGTACTGGGTGTGCTGGTGAGAGGCAGGTGAGAAGTGGAGTCCTGACCTTTTCCCCATCAAAACATGTTTGATTTAAAACCTCACGGCAACTGAGTGTGAACTCTTGCAACTCTTCCATCACATTTTCATTATGCAGTCTCCCTCCTGGCTGGCCCCATGTCAGGGCTCTGGGGAGCCTCAGTTATGTTGGTGTTCAGCCTGGAAAAAGCATCTCTTTGTTGTATGTCCTATTGCTGCAAATAAAATCTCTGATGCTAAATATGTTCTTGAAAAGAGCATATTTATGTTCTTAAAATTCACAGCTCCTTTTGTCCAGTTTATGTTCTATTTCACTGTGTGAATGATCATTGGAACTAAGCTGTATCTATCAAGTGGAAATAGCTTATATTAATCCTGTAGCAGTGACACAAACCTTCCCTTCCCACAGGATTCAGGCACCTGCCAGGCACTTTAAGCTTAGCCTTTTGCCTCAGCTTGGCTTATACCCAGACTAGGATATTTCTCACTTTTCAAAATGAATGTTCATTTGAAGTTTGAGTTTGTGCTTTCCTAAGCTCTGAGTGGTTTCTGTGATGGCAAAACCAGGGCACTGGAGAGCTGACTGACTAAGAGTGATCCTTCTCCTGCTGCTTGCCATGGGACTGGTTCCTACATAAGCACAGAAAGAGTAAGTGAGGCTTGTCCGAGGGCCCCTTCCTATAAATATGTGAGTGATTGCAGCGTTCACCCGTGCCTTACACGCCATCACTCAGCTTCCCACAAACACCTTTGTTCGGTGATTATTTGAGCTATCAGACAAACAAGGCAGCATAATGGTTAGAAATGAAAGTGCCAGCTGAGAGAAGTTAGACATAGGAGAGGCATTAGTAAGGTCTCTCTCAATGCTCGTATTCTAACTGCTGTAGTGGGGCTCAAGCTATTTAATCTTTGAGGTATCTCTAGGAATCAAAGCCAACAAAACCAAGTCCCAGAGAAGATTAGAATTGGAAATCCATTTGTTTTCATGGTATTACTAAGGGTTTTTTTCCTTTGATTTTGAATGAAAATTATAATGACTTCATAGAGACAGTAAGTTATACTGATTTGGATGTGTTATTTATTTCAAGCATGACTCAGCTTGCTGGTGAGAAAAATAAGACTCCTGTGAGCTTTTTTGTGATTATATATAGCAGACAGGTTGGTAATTTTAATTGGTGTATATATAGTCACTAAATTGAGGTTTGTGTGAAAGATAATGTAAATAATCAAATTATCAGGAAATCACAAGAGCTCTGAAAGGGATTTTGAGACAAAAATCCCATATATTTTCAATTGGAGCCTTGTAAAATCTGTCATCTCCATCTTTTTTTAAAAGCATTGTTCTGTGAGGGGGAAGGCAGAAAGAGAAGACTAGACCTGGGTTAAAAAAGTGTAAACCTACAGTTTAAACCCCAAGTTACACATTGCTCCTTGCTAAGATTTCATTTCTCTGGTATTCTGCTTTGATCAGTTAGAAAAAATTGTGGATTTTATCTAAGCGGCAGAAATAAATATATTAAAAGAAAATCTTTAGTGGTGATTTTGTGGTCTTCAATTAATTACAGCAAATGTTTACTCATGCATATTTCTGTTTGGAGTATCTACATTTAAATTTCAGCCAGGAATTCTCTCCATCAAGAAAGTGATGTTTAATTATTAAGATAGCGTGCAATGTGACCTGTTTAATAATATAATATAGGCTGCTTTAGTGTTTATCTACCAGTATTCAAGTGAAAAGTTAAAGTTTGATCCATATAAAAATTTTGCTTCAAAATCAGTAAGCAGCTATAATTCTGTAAGTGCACAGCATTGTGCACTTGATCTTGACTCTTTCTGAGAAACAAGAGCTCATGCAAGAAGTCACATCATCTGGGGAAAGCAAGACAAGCTTTCTTTCACCATTCATTGTGTCATCTGATTTCGCAAGAGAGAAGAAACTTAAGCCATTCTGCTTTGAAAGCTTATTTCATTTTAACCCTGAGCTCAAAAAGAAATCTGATATAAAAGCTTGTATCTGCATGTTCCAAGAGATTTTCTCAAGAATTTCCAAGTTAAAAACTTTAATCCATTGTAGGATATGGACATCCTTGTAAAGAAACATATTTTGGGTTTTTTTCAAGCAGAGTCATGAAATAATACCTTCCTTGTACTGCTGTGATTCAGTGCAGGGATGCATTTTGCTTGAGTCTGTGTCATTGTAGCCTTGTTACTATGTCATGGAAAAGATTTAGGCATGGCATGAACTCTTTCATTGTTGTACTTAGCATTTTCTTGTGCGCTGCTTCTAGGGATTGACATCAAAGAGCAATATGAGTACACGGACTTTAAACACAACTTTAAAGAAGTCAAGCTATTTTTGTTGTCTTCTGAAATGATGATACCTCTCAAAACAAATCCCAAGTAGCCTCATGTTCTGTGTGTGCATGTGTCTGTTTTCCACAGTAACTGACATTCAAAATAGCATCTCTGGAAGGAGACAAGTGCTGGCAATAATGCTGATCAGGAATAGTAAGTAATTTGCTACAAACAGAAATGCAAGTGGTGTTAATAGAGGAAAACCCTTCAGAGAAAGCAGGCGTTTTACATTCTTGCTTTCTCCAGTCTTCTGGAAGTCCTTCTGCATCAGTGATTTCTGATCATGGCCTGCAGGGAAACACCCTTCTTGCAATTTGTGCAGTAATACTGTGAAGTGGTGCTGTTAGAGGGAGACAGTTTCATCCCTCAGCAAAATGAGACATTCCAGACAATATCCAATTTGTTCCCAGGGCATTTTTGGGACAATCTGACAAGCTCTCAGATATCAGCAGTGTCTGAGCTGCAGCTAATGGACCTTGCACCTAGAAAAGCAACATTGTCCCCTGAGCTTTTCACATTATGCCTGTCCTAAGTCCAGTATTTTCGAATTGCACAATTTTTTATTGAGTAGAAACATCATTTTTGCTTTTCTTGCCTTGTAATGGGAGTTTTTGTTTTTATTTATTTATTGATACTTTGACATTACATGGCATAGAAAAAAGCCTTTTGGAATTTGGGACATGTCGTGTTTATGCACTGATAGCCCTTTGGAGTTGTACTCTGACAAGTGTGTGTCCTGAAGCAAGTTTTTTGTTCTGAAAGGTTGGAACGTGCTGCCAGTCCTTAATTGCTTGTCTGCAGGGTGTCCCTGCTCTGTCCCCAAGCCCCTGCCCACAGAGCTCAGGGGCCACCCGCCCACAAAGGGAGCTCAGGCTGCTCCCCTCACTGCAGGGGTAGAGTTCAGCAGCGGGGAAATCTAGCTGAGGTATTTAAACCTGTGGGTTCAAATTGTTATCACATTCTGAATTAGTTGATAAAAGGATTCCAGAAGCTTGGTGTATTGGAAGAAAACTGCAGTTCTGCAGCAGAAGTAACACATACCTGCCATGGATGCTTTTGTTAGGCACGCTCTGATCTGCAGAAATTGGTCTTATGATAAAGAGCTACAGGTTACAGAGTACTACAGAATGGTAGTGCTTGTGAAATGTCCGTTCTGGCACTTCTGGAAATAAATGCTTAAATTAATGATGACTTGGAGAAATCACACAAATGTAAAACACTGGATTTACTGTGGCTTTATGCAGTACTTCAGTATTAATTGCTTGGAAAAAAATCCTTTGAAAGGTAAATGTATTTTTGAGTTAACCTTTCTTCAAATCTTTATATTTCATGCAGTAATTTTCACAAGTGAATGAAAAGGTGCATAAAACCAGAAACTTGTGATTAATGAAATGGACTCTGGTGTATCATGAGAAGGACATGAATTAGGCAAAGTTTTACAGGTTCAATACTTGCCCCCTCCTTTTTGTATCTCAGGACTGCAGAGTGGAAGGAATTACAACTTTCACTAGAGTGTTCAAATTTCATAAACCAAACTTTTAAATTACGGTTCTCTGTGCTCAAAATATGGAATGCAATATTATTAGACTAATTCTTGATATTCAGAAAAAAATATCAAATGATAATCAAGCAGTTAACTATAGGACTACTGCAGCTTTATCCTGGATCAAGGTTGTCACATGAACTATTTGTTTGTTTGGTAGCACTGATCATTTGCAGTCCTTGAGCACTGTTATCATCTCCAGGTTATTTTTCTTTTCTCTAGATAGAAAGCTCATGTTGTAAAAACAGCTATCAGCATGTATTATCATTGATAAAAGAAGATTGTCTCTTAAGTGAAGTCTTAACATTTGAAAATTTGAAATCCCAGAATTGTAGGATATCCTGAGTGGAAGGAATCCACAAGGATCATCAAAGTCCAGCTACAGGCCCTAAGAATCACACCATATGCAAGCAATGCCATTACAGTTGAACTTGATCTATTTTGTTACAGTGAATGAAATATGGAGACATTGATTGCAAGTCCAACTCTGTGGTCTCTTCTTTTCACTCTAATTGTGCCAGTCTTTGTCCTGTTCGAACAACAAGATGGGCTGTTGACTGTGAGTATGGGAGTGGCTGCATATTTTAAATCTCTTTCTCATGGATGTAAAGCTGGGGGAAATGAAGAAGCTTCATGTTCAGGTAGTGTGCTTCAGTACTGTGAGAATCAGATATCTTGGACCGGCTTAGGGCAGCACAGGGAAGGGGGCAGAGAACTCTGCTGCTGCAGCAGCTCACTCTGCTCTGTCCATGGAACTGCTTGGAAATATTGAATATTTGCAGTCCAATTCTGTGTTAATGAACAAGACTGGCTTACTGCTGTTATGTTGCAGTTTGGTCCTCAAAGTCAATGCAAGAAAAAGAGCTACAGATTTTCTGCTAAAGTAATGATACCTAATAAATTGATTATTGATTTAGTTGGCATGATAGGGGGCTAGTTATGGCCTTGTGATAAATCTCTGCAATTATGACTGCCTTTGTTGAAGGCATGATTTGAAATTTAATAGTAGAGTACTAGTAGGTTTACATAAACTTGTAACTTGATTTAAATTATCAGGCTGATCACAAAGAGGTCCATAACACATCAGTTCCTAGACTAATGAACCATACATCCTTGTCGACTTTAGTAATGTTTTGACAGTTTTTGCCTCAGTGCCTCTGAATTACAAGTGTGCAGAGATGTATTGCTTGCTGCTACGATAGGTCTCTCCCTCAGGATATGGGAGGTCACGTTTTCTGAATCTGAATTGCTTAACTAAACAATGACAACTTCTGTAATGCTTTAAAAGAAGGCTGCAATCAGTTATCATGGTTGTAATTGCAATTTTTTTTTTCACAAGGAGAGATATTAAAAGAATGACATTTTTGAATTTCATACATTATTTAGCTTTTCTGAAATGGCACTTTTGGTGTTCTTAAAATATAGAGGATTTATATCGCTATGTGATTAATTCTAAGATGGTAGAAAACTGCTGTTGATTCTTTCTTTACAAACAGAGATGCAAAAATAATTCAGATTTAAAATCAGGCTGTCTTTATCTTCTCATTAGTGAATATATTGTGTGCATGAAACACATGCAGCAACTGTCTTATACCATTTACTTAAGTTTGTCCTATCAGCTAACCTTGTTTACTATGGGCATTTTTCATAAATAAGACGGCTTTTTTTGTCCTTCACTATGTGGCTTTTCTTCTTCTATAGTTGAATAAAAGAGTCTGTGTTGCTCTGTTTGATCTTTTCTATAAATTTCCTATTTTCTTGAGTTCACAGAAAGCAAACCAGATAAATATAGGAAGGCAATTTCTATGAATGACGGATGACATTACTATGAAGTGTCTAGATTTTCTTATGTTTGTCTGTTTTCCCCTTTTAGAGATGCAATAAAGTGGAGCTGAAATGCATCTTACATGTTGAGGTCAGTTCTGTGATGAGAGTTGAATATTATTTCATGTTTGAAACATTCTTTTGCTATATTACTACATTACAGAAGGGAAAGTAAGGCAAGCTTTATTAAACATTGTGACCTCCTGAAATGGAGATTTGGCAAATTTAACTATGGCATTTCCAAGTACAGAAGTTTCGAGGAATATGTCTTTTGTGGAAAATAGTGAATCTTGTGATTCATAGCATATTTCTCTAGGTGGGGTTATGTTTGAGTGAAGTATGTTACATGGTGCATCATCATTTAATTACTTGTGGGAAGCTTTGGGAGCAATGATCTTGGGCACTGCTGCATTTTGTCCTCATCTGCTGATAGACCTCTGAAAGGGGTGTTGTGGCTGCTGCAAAAAGGAGGACAGCTGTGACGATGAGGATGGTGTCACTTATGTCCACTGTGTTGTCTTACTCCCTTGTGGAAGCTGAATGTAGCATGAACTCCTTGTGTTCTTTGTTAAAATCTATTCTATAAATTTCAGAATAGGTCTAATCATCCATATCATAGACCATAATCCCCATTACTGCCCATTATAAATGTGTAGTTATCTGTTCAATAGTACATTATTGTCCCCTTGGATCCATTATAATTTAATATATTAAGACCTTAAAGTTTTGATATATGGATCATCACCCTTCAAAGCTCAGTGACAGTCTAATAAGTAGTTGCAAATAAGTCAGGCTTTAAAATAAGAGTTTTTCTTTTCAAAATGACATTTTTCTAGATTGGGACATCCCTTACACCTGCCTCTTCAACCTCACTTCACTCAGCAAAGACTGAGGTGCAATTAAAGCAAGTCTTTTAAGATCTCAAGAACAGTAACGAATTTTCAAAATGGAGCAAGGCTTAGGCTGACTTTTTTCATGTCCACACAAAGAAGGACAACAGAGAAGAACATTTTCTACAGTTTTTATGTGTCTAAAATTACTCTGTTCTTTTTAGAGCCCTGTAAGTATCACTCTTGCTGAAGCCATACAGGACCTCCTACAACCCACAGCTTTTCTCTGTTTTCCATTGTACTGTGTGCCTGAGGCAGGTCAGTGTCTGGACAGTACAGAAGAAAAATAAATAATGTGGTTCTCGAGCTCTCTAACAGACTTCTCCCACTCAACTTTTCTGCCTTTCATTTTAAGCTGTAGAGAACTTACAAAATGTTCAGCATAGAGAGCTTACAAAGAAAACTCTGGTGGGCTGAAGTCTTGTTCTTTGTTCCTCAGCCCTCAGAGATCTCCTGCTCAAGAGCATTTGCAGTTAGATTTAAGACTCCCTAAAACAAAATATTAAGAAATGTAGGTTCATTGATTGCAAAGATGATGCAATATTTACTTGGTCCTTGCAAAAAGATATTTTTGTAATTGCTTAGTTTTTAGAGATTCAAGATCCTGAGACGTTCAATTCTGGCAAATAGTTGACAAATTATTAAAGTGAGGCTGCAGATTAAATCTTACACAGCTGACAGTAGTGAATGTGTTGCTGCGCTTGGACATCCTGCGCAGCAGTTGCATTCTTTCTTTTTTCCCCACATTGTTTCCTAAACCTTCCTCGTCCAACTTATGATTTGTGTATTTGTCATAATTTAAATAAGGATAAATGCCTCTCAGTTAGGTTAATAGCTGATAACATATACTAATAATTCTGTTGCAAATTGGTCTTTGTTGTCACTGCATTATGCTACCTGCTATAATGGCGCATATTTGTTTGGTAGCTTATGCAATGACTGAGAACTGTGTTTATTGGCACAGATGGTCCATGCCAGGTGCTCATCCTCCATTGCAAAGGTCTGTGGTGCTGTGGTTGTCCTGTGTGATGGGGGCCCTTCCTGATCCTGTCATGCCACTTGCTTTTGGAAGAGTCTATTTCTCTTAGATGAAATTAGAGAAAATATTCACCCTCGCACAGTTTTGCCTCTGTTCCTGCTGGAGCAAAGGGAGGATGCAGGCAGGGTGTGTGAATGACCAAGTTCCACATGGCAGTGGGCTCAGACAGGTGGAGGTGCTGAACTGTGGCAGTGAGGGGGGCACAGATGCCCATTTCAGCTCTTTGTGTTTGGCACCAGCTCCTCATCGTGCTGATAGGTCATTTTAGCTTAGTATTAAAGCAGGAAAAGATCAATCAGAAATATCAACTAAAGAAGAAATTTATTGTTGCAGATTTCCTGTCTTTAAGGGACAGTGACCTTGCTTGATTCACTATTAGCTTTTAGATTGTTTGTGATACTTTTCTTTCCCCCCCAGCCTACTATTCTTAAACTGCAGGTTATTTTAAGCTTATTGCTTTTAAATTGCAGAGCATTTAAGACATTGTAGGCATATAGAATTAAGCTTGGACAGTATTGAAGGTCACACTATAGAGAACTCAATTATAATGACAGCTGGATAGTCTGCATGGTAGTCTTTTTATCTAGCTCATGTATCTGATTGTGGTCTTACTAACCAGTGTTTATTCTTTCCTACACCGGTAATTATACTTCAATACTTCAGCAGTGACATTTTAAACCTATTTTTGTTGCAAAAATTTTTGTTTGAGCAAACATCAGATTTATTTGGTTACTCTCATTTAGTCAAGTTTAAATGTGTTTCACTCACCATAAATTTTCCTTGAAATTAAGCTTTTCTGTTGCTTTGTTTTGTAACGCTGTAATAATCATTGACATGGTGATAGATGAACAAAAACACTGGAGGCATAGTCTTCATTTATTACATCAAGTTTGGGAAAAGATGGATCTGGACCAAGATGCAACTGATCCTAGTGTTGCAATTGGTTTCGATTAATTGTAGCTTTAAAGACTTCTGACATTGTAGTAGTTTGTTAAAACAAAGTGCTGTGCTGTTCCTCATGGGCTTGGAGCATAGGGGTTGGCAGTGGGTCTCTGATTTTCCTGTGCTTTTTGTGCAACAGACCCCTGTGTCCTCCTGCTCTGTATAAATAGAATGATGGCTGATGAGAATCACGCAAGCTGTTGCTTCGCTCTGCTTGCTGGTAGTGTCTCACATGGAATTGTGTCCACTCCCAGTGACCTGAACTGTGGCTCCAATGATAATAATGGTTATGTTTTCCATCACAAAGTTCTTGAGCATCTTTTGATTTGTTAGTATATATCAATTATTTCATAAGCTGGTTTCAAAGTCTAATCAAAATCTAAATTTTAGAATTGGCTCCATGTCTGTAAATAGCACCTGCAATTGTTCAAGAATTATTTGAAGAGCAAGGCAATTGATATTCCAAACAATTGTTTTGTGAAGGATGTAATCTAGATCCACTGAGAAGTCTGTAGAGAAAAAGCAGCAGCTAGACTCCCTGCTGCTTCTTTTATAAAAATTAAAGACAAACCAGAAAATGACAGCACATAATTATAAAGAAATAGATCCATTTGTTAACAGTTCTATGGTGAAATTTTGTTATTGGCACTAATAACAACATAAACATTTGCATTCAGCTGAAAGCAGGCAGTGATATTCACAATGCAGTCAAAAATGTCCCTGTAGAGTTCTCAATGAGAGGAGCATTGCTTTGAATAAAACCTATCAGGCTATTGAGGAATGTTATGCTGCTATTGTGTACTTCATTCCCTCCCTTTTTTTTTCTTAAGGCCTATTCCTCTCTAAAATATTTTCCAGTATTAAATTCTCCTACAGAACTGGAAGCTATCTTCCAAACATATTTTCTAATCTGTGTTTTTAAACTGCTTTTTCAAGTATATAAAGGTACATGCTACAATTTATTTACCGATTATCCCTAAAACTTTGAGTAGACTCTTTGAATGGAAGTAGAATAAATTCACTAAAGCATCTGCAAAATGAGAAGTGTTTAGTAAGTGGCTGGCTACTAATAAATCCAAGGCAAAAAAACCAGAAATTAAATAAGGTATTGGTATGAAAAAGAGGTGTAAGAAGCATCAGTACAACGCAATAGCTTGATAAATCTGGTTTGAAATTAAAAAAAAAAAAAGGGAAGACAGTATTCCTGCTCCTGAGAAGCAGAACTGTAGGTGGGCTCTGTGGGTCTGGGGTGGTACATGAGTTTTCCCATAGCAGGTCCACCTCCCAGCCTCCAAAAAGAGCTGGTGTGAAGAGCTGAGAGATGGGATGTCCCTTCATAGCAAAGAACATTGCACTGTGAATGCCAAGTGTTGATAACTCTGTATGTGCACCTATTTTTTTATAGTATGGGATTCCTTCTACTGAAGATCTTGCAACTCTGGAAATATTACACAGGCTTTGCAGTAGAAACTGTCATATGCCAGAAATTCAGCTGAATGCTTCTTGGATTTCTCTGTCTGAGCACCATGGAGATGATGTCTGTCACAATTGTACAGCTGCTGCAAGTGGTAATTTTCTAATCAGATGAAGCATAAGAAAACTAATTCCTTGTTACGTACCTTTAAGCTACTGCATTTAACTTCTTTTCATTACCATGTAATTATCTTTTCATTCTATAGATGGTGTGATAATTTCCAAAGCTGTTTGTGACTGAAAATTAAGTGAAGCTGTGACATACCTGGAACAGTCTTACTTCAGTGACCTAAACTACTTACCTCTGGTAAATATTCACAACAGTAAAAGCTGCCTGTGCAATGCCCAGTCACACAAGTTATCCAAAACAGCTGTGACAGACACGCTGTACTTTAGGCCTGAAAGAGCCAGTGACTGTGAATCTTTTCTCTTTTTTCTAGTTGTGATGATGTCTTTTTCTCTCTATACTGTAGTTGCATTTGTGATTCTTGTGGCTGTTGTAGAGAGCAAAAGGTGTAGTTGTATTCTAGGCTTGTTGTTTTCAGTAATCTTTAAGAAGGAGATAGGGAAACTAGCATTTTGGTGTCAGAAGAGCATTTGTTCATTTGAAGGAGATCTGAACAAACACAAAAGGATCTAGCATGGTAGAAGGAACCAGAAGAGCAGATAAATGTGGGAAAAAAAGGCAATTTTCGTAGTGTCTGAGAGGTGTTTGAATTCTGTAAAAATGGTGCATTACTAAATATACTGTTTGATAAAAGAATTATAAACAACTATACATATGTTACAACCATGCAGAAGTATTGTGTGGTAAATAGTGCTCATCAAGGCCAGTAAAAAGTGTTAAAATAATTTAGGACTACTGAGTCTGCAAGCAGTGTGTTACACAGACCACTGATTTGCTTTATAGTAAGCCAATTATTAGGAAATTATTAATCTTTTAATAACTGGTATGAAATTAATGTAAAATACATCTGAGTCTCATCATGCTGGTGTAAAATAAGACTTATTTTAGTTTGTCAGACATTTTCTTTCTTCCCACTCCCAAATGTTGAGAAGGATATTTTAATAGAAAGAAGAGATTTTAAGCTTGCATACTTGGCTCTTTTTGTAGTAATTATTATGGGTAGGTTTAGTACCTTTGTAGGCTCCATCAGTTGTCTTACAGTGTTATGAAAAAATCATGTTTCTTGTTTGAGGAAAAAAACAAGGAAAGAGAGAAGGTGTATCAGTGTATGGGTAGGTAAGTCAAGAACAGCTAACAGCCAAAGGGCAGTAACTCAACCAGAAATGGATATTGTAGTTCTCAGACAGCAATTGCCTTGGCAGTTATTTCCCCTAGGAATGGGATAAAAACACTTCCAAAATAGAGACACTTGCCTATATGTGCTTCTAACCAGTTTGTGTTCTCCCAGCCTACTTAATTGTGAATAAAACCCAAGTTAAAAGATTAACCTACTTTACCTTAACTCACCTCTTTAGAGACATGCACATCAAGGGTTCTTTTCCTCTCCTTAGAAGTATTTCCCACTGCCCTGAGTCCATTTCTTTGTTTGCTGCCCAACATGCACTGCCTATGTGGTGAAGAATGTATCATGTCTGGGGCAATGGGCTGGAAATCCAGTAAAAATGAGATGTGGAGTGGGGTGGGGGGTGGGAGGGATGGGGAAGCCAGAGGAGCAGCAGCCTCTGTGGGGCTCAGAGTGGTCCCTGCTGGGAGTGTGGTGTTGGTGTGCTCCGGTTCCTTGTGCTGCCTTCAATGGGAACTGACCCAACCCGTAAGGGAATGGAGATTTAGCAAATCCCAGTATCTGCCCAAGTGCTGGACTCTGTGTCTGCTTTTATTATTGATTGGCCAGTGGAGAAGGCTACTGTAGAGAAACACGGCTGTGAGATGACAAGAGATGAAGTATTTTTTCAGTTAGAAGTGACCTCGTAATTCCCAAATGGCGGCGTGAAGTGGTACTCCAAATGAATTATGTGGGGCCATCCTAATGAGTAGGAGTTGTTTTGGATCAAGTTCTAGCCACTACAGAATTTCTAGCCTTATGAGCAATGTCTTTCCTATTGCAATTCACCATACAAAGACAAAATTGAGAAAGCTTTGGAGCTTAATTTATTTGTCTATCAGGTGATAATGATGTTTAGCAAATAGGGTTGATTACAACCATGGCATTCAAATGTTTAGGCAATGTTCAAGACCATGCACATTTTGTCCTTGCTGTAACTTTAGATCATAACAGGCTCTAAAACATATTCATTTCTTGCCGCTAAGGCTTGGGGTTTTATGTACATCCATGTTTACTCCTGTTTCTTTTTTAAATTACATTTTCATAGACTGATTCAGCCAATAAGAGACATGCACAAATAATTGTCAAGAAATGAGTAAGGTTTTTAGCTAAAAGATTGTTAGCTGGTGTTTAGCTTCTGCAAGAGACCTTAAGTGCTGTTTATATACAAGTCACAAGACTAGTGGACATAAAATATAAAAAATATTAGTGAGAACTTACTCAAATAATGCCTTTTTTTTTTTATTCTACAGAGAGGTCTGTGAAGAATACAACACTTACTGTTCTGTCAGGTCTCTGCAACATGATTCTTACACTGAGATGGATGTAAGTACCTTGAAACTGCTTATTTAAAAGAAGTACTTTCATAAAATCTGACCTTTATTACAGTTCTCTTCATCATGGTGACATAAGGAGGCTATGTTACCTGTCACTTTTATTAACTCACACAGCTAGTCAGTTTAAATGATGCTCAAAATTTTCTCCTTCAAAAGGTTGGAGGAATGAAAAGGTTAAATCTAATTTTAAATGTCACTTTCTAGCAAAATACTTCCTACATGTAAAGGAAACATCAAGTAAGCAAAACTTGCTTAATTTGAAGCTTGTAGTGGACCCTGACATGACTATTTCAAGTCACTCCATGTAGACTGGAAGAACTGCTGTAATTTCCCAGCAAAATTTTACTTTTACCAGACATGTACCAAGAGATGCAGTGTAAAACAAAATTGATTTGCAAGTATACCTTTCCCTCATGATAAAGACAATGAAAGCTTTTTTGAAATTTAGTCTAGAAATATGCAATGTTTTATTTGAAATTATTTGCTGCCTAGGATAAATTCATGGGATCCACACTTTTTTCACAAAAACCTCAATATAGAGAGCTAGAGGAGCACGGACATTGTTTATATAGATGAGAGATCAAACTGCTTTCAGGCATTCTCAATACCATTGATAGCTGGAAAAAAATGACAAAGGCTGTACAACTTTTGACCCTGTCTAAGGGGTTTTTTGATCATGGTGAAAAGGTAAATAAAATGATTAATGCTACGTCCTAAAGCTAAGTGTAATGGTCCTGTTGAATACCTCATACTTCATTGGTGGCTCTTGAGTATTTGAGATATGCCAATAGAGATACAGGTCCTCAGTCCAGGTTTTTCCAGAACAGAAATATGTCTAGTAACTTTTCTGCTTGATAAGGTCTTGATGTTGTGTTGCTTTCCATGATTACTTTAACTAAAAACTCTCTAAAATTAGTCTGTTCAGAGAATTTGTTTGTATCTGACACCTAGTTTGGTTGGCAAACACCTCTGGGAGCACCAAGTATGCCCCTTGATAGGTTAGTGAAAGGTTGTACTTGGATAGTAGTAGAGAATTGGGTTTTTAGCTCTTTTAGATTTGACATCTTAAAATAGGCTAAGGGGTTTCAACTTGAATAAAGTCGTGCAGAAGGTATGTGAGATTTATCGGGAACTGCAAACCAGACAAACCATACTGGACTGCCCAAACATAGTTCATGTTGTAAGTAATACCACAAAAAATGAGGAGTCTGAAGAATCATCAGTTTAACCCCTTTTATGTTTATTTAGAGCATTTTTTTAAGGTGTTAAATGGCTCTGAAGGTGCATAAGAGTTTAGATCTGGGGGCCCTAGGGGGACGTTGCTGGCTGCCCTGGGCAGAGCTGGGAGCTCTGTGCTGTGGTTGAGCTGGCTGGCCAAATTCCATATTCGGCTGGGCTGGGCTTGGCCTAGGTTACTGCAGCAATGATCACCTGCAACTTTCTTAACCCCTGTGACTGATATGACCCTGACTGTCACTGCTTGAGGATGTGCCTTAGATTGTCCTTTCATGGCCCTGAATAATATTTTACTATCTAAATTTGACTAGGCTATACTGGCATTTATATGTATTATTTGTTCTGAAGAAATGATGAGGGGAAAAATATAGGTGTGTAGAAATATACCTTGAATTTATGATATACATTTGCATTCTCTGCAGGGGTAAGATTATCTTGCTGTAATTACATAGTTCATCAACTGGCCACTGCTCATGGGGCTTGCCTCACCTACTGCTGAATGTGGGGACCTGCACATTAATTTTAACTCTGATGATGATTGGCTGTAGTGTTCCCTGTTGTCACTGCAGCCGTGGAGATCAGGCCTGATGATATGCCACAAAATCAGTGACAGTTTGCATACAGACATGGTTTACTCAGGTCTCAGCACTGCCATTCTCAGAAGATGAGGAGGTATTGAACTGTCAAACTGAGACTGAGCAGGTGACAGCTGATGCATTTTAGATCAGCTGCCTTCATGACTGATTTAGTAAACCTAACTGAGAGCAAGCAGGCTTTTCCTCCTTCAATATTATACTCTTTAGAAAAATAAGACGAAAACGAAAGTGTGAAAATGTGGGGGTTTTTTTTCATTTTTAAAAATTACCCTTTATTCCTTCTATTCACTTGGAAACCTTTTAGTGTAAAAATGATAAGGATGCAAGATCTGAGAGGATTTTTTCTATGGAATGAATTGAGGTAGAGAAGTATTTTTATCCTTTCCACAGCTCTGTGGCAATTTAACATCTGACTCTCAGTCAATCACTCTACCTGCTGTCTTCTATATATCATACAACTTCTTTAAATAGGTAATGCTGAAAATAACACAGACAAGCAACAACATGTGGAAGCATGCAGTAAATATAAAATGTGTTTCCTTCTCTTGCCTGAGTTGCTTCCTAATTTGATAGCATTGATTAAAAAATGAAGGTAATTCATAGTGCAGTGAGTTAGCCTAGGATGAAGCCGTTTCACAAGACACAGCAAGCTTCTAGTAGGCAATGAACACAATGGTGAGGCAGAACAAGTGGCATTGTCATTGCATGTTGGTGCTCATAGAGCTGATTGCTCTGCCACATAAGAATTAAATATTCTTGTGTATGCAGAGAGATGTTTTCAGTCATTTCTCTTTGATACCGCTAAAATTTGAAGGGCCTTACAAGGGTCTTAAGTGGAAAGCTCTTTCCTGTCCATTGCAGACTGTCCTTTTGGCAGAACAACTGCATAGTCACAGAAGAGGGAGAGAAATTTGGTAGATGTCATTTTGTTGGCAGTATCCAGTTGCTCAGAGCATTTTTTGTCTCTTGTGTCTACTCATATGCAAAAGCAAAGGATGTGGGAAGGGATCTTTTCTCCACATCTCTCCTTTTCTCTCTTTTTGACTGAAATATTCCCCTCAGAAAAGCTCTGCTGTTGCTTCCTGTGGTCTTTTGCTTCTTGCAAAGGAATGCTTCTTTGTCTGATTTGACTAGCAGGGAATACAGTGCATAATATATACCTTGGGTTAAGAAGAAAAAAGATTTTTATGTCAAGAGAATTTCCTGCAGCTTTTCTTGAACGCTTAAAAATATAAAGATGAGATGCTAATATGAAGAGTGTGAAGTATATTTCAAAGTTGATAGTACATTACATAGATTTGTTTTCTGTGTGCTGTATTGCTTTTGAGAAATTGCATTAGGGTTTTTTTCAATCTGTTAAATACTGGAAAATTGGATCACTGGAGCAGTGAGTAAACTTTGTGCATATAATGGCCAGAGATGTCCAAAATCTTCTGCATTTCTTTTATTTCCCCCCAAAATAGCAAGATTCAAATGAAAGTACTTATGCAGAAGTCACATAAATAATATTCTTCCTCCATCATCAGTGCAGCTGGGAATGCATTATTTCTGGTGATGACTGACGTGCTCCCTCACCTCTTTGTCCTCTCCTCATGAAAATGCCTTGCTGCTGCCGAGGAGCGCGGTGTCGGACAAAGCACAGAGTCCTGGGCTGTGCCTTTGGGAGGACTGAGCGGGGCAAGGGCCACCAAGGAGAGGAGCAGAGATGTGTTGGAGCGCGTATGCCAGGCACTAGAAGAAAGGTGATGGCCCAGGGAGGTGACAGTGCCAAATCACTGTGTGGCTTAGTCCCAGATAGCCCAGTTCTCTAGTTGCTGTTGTTACTGTTTCTTGGTGTATTAAAAAGGAGACTTGGGGGTGGGTATTTCCAGGTAAGTGTGTGCAGGGGGAAAGAGAAACATGTTAAATCTCTGTTACATCTGCATGTTAGAGAAATGCCTTACAGTTCTTGCTGCAGGCTGACTTCCCTATATGCTCAAAATTCACTTCAATATTTATTGCAATTTAAGGTTCTATTATTGAGTATAATGACGCAAAACAGCATTCCAGCAGAATGTTTGCTCCACAGACTCTGTGCTACCAGTCCTGCAATGTCAAAAAAAGAGCCCTATTTGGATTATAGAGAACAATAATGTTACCAGGGGGATACATGTGAATTGCATTCTATCAACTTCTTTGATATTTATTTCAACTATATATGTAATTTGTAGATTCTAATTCTTTATAGTCTTCTTGATTTTCATTTAAATGATTCCAAAATATTCCATTTTTATTTGTCGGCAAAGTATCTTTCCCTGTCTCTAATGGATTTATTAAAATCCATACTTCAGGCTGCTGTCCCTATACACTGGTCCCCAAATGCTGCTTTACTGTCAGTGCCATTTTTGTGTGAGTTGGGGCCAGATACTACAGTCCTGTCACTTAAATCAGGATGACAGCCTGGTGCTGGGCTTGAGCCCTCATGGCTTGTCATGATTCAGCATTCCTGCCATCAAGGGAAGGAGATAAACACAGCAGTGAAGTGGGAAGAGGGTGCCTTAATGAGAGTTGTTAACGAGGGGAAGGCATTTTTCATTTTAATGGTGCAATAGAATTTCCCCCCCCAGTTCACTTTCTTCTTTTACCTCTGTGTATAGTTTATTAGACAGAAATACACACTTGGGATTCAGTTACCTGGAGAGTAGTAGTGCACACCTGGGCTGTAAGTACTTTGTTTCCAGCAACAGACAGAGGCAGAGATTTATCAAGGGTGTGAGGCTCAGGGGGCACAAAATGGTGGGATGAGCTTCCCCTCTTGATGCATTAATTAGTATAACAATTACAATTAGAGAGAATGGCCTGCCGAGCCCTTGCTGGGGGCATCAACAGTCCTGAAAGAGAGAAAACAGTGATTTCAGCTTCTCTCATGTTATTTGTCTTTCTAGACAAAAGCAGCAAGAGAGTGCAAACGCAAAGGTATGCTGAGGGATGTGGTAACCCCATCAGATCAAGGTGTTTCCATGGCGCTGCTCCCCAGCCCAAGTCCTTATGGGCACTGTTAGTGGAATATGGACTGCAGGCATCCCTTTGCTGTAGGGCAGATGTTTGTGTAGCTTGCTGAGGGAAAAAGAGAGAGAAGTTCATTGCATTTGCAGAGTGATATATTTAGACCTTGCTC